CAGGACTAACTGGAGCTGCTGATTGCCTTCACTCTGTCAGCTGCAGAGACATAAATATATCTGATTTCCCAACAACATATACAGTTTGGAACATTTGAACCTTGTTTAATTTCAAATGAAAAATCAAAACAAAATGAAAAGGCTACTTAATTGTTTGAGATTTCAAACCAAAGTTGTGGGGTCCTTGATGCTGTCTGAACTTGGTGATTTTCTTCCAGACGTTTCACTACCCAACTAAATAACAGCATCAGTGCTAGAGGTGAGTGAGGTTGCTCTGTTTTTAATATAAAAGAGGCTAACCTGTCAAGTGTTGGTGGGTGTGTTTTTCGTGGTTCCTTGATTAGGTTGTTTTTACTGTTCGATTGTTTATCTTCGTTGATAGTTCTTTGATTGGAGTATTGTTTACTTCTTTATTGGTCTAGTAGTATTAATCTTAATTTTAATCTCTGCATATTTGGGCGTTAACTGCTGGAGGTGTTTTCTTGTTTCCTCTTTGATTCCTAACCATCAAAAGTTATTTTCCTGTGGCCGTGGAAGTCGGGATGCAGGACAGTCCTCCAAATTCAAGTGTTCCTGACTTTGTTTCTAACTCATCCTTGATTCCTTTTGTGGGTAACTTTAAGAGTGTAAACTCCGATATTGTTTCCTCATAGTGGCCCTAAGCAACGTTTGACTCTCAATGCTTACCACTCTTTTAAAAAATATACCATGGAGCTGAATAAGGGAGAAAATTATTGGGGAACTAAACACCCCTATAATAAAATACAAGAGTGTTTAGGGATGATTTTCAATCAATGGAAGATAATGTTTTGGCTTTGGGAAACAATTATGAGAATGTTAGGAGCACTGTGTTTGTACTGTTAGAAAATGATTTCCATAAAAATGATTTTTCTGTTCATAACAAGACTACCATAAGGCAAGGCCAGTCAGAAAATTGCCAGAAGCCAGATGAGTCAGATTTTATATAGTTAGGGATAGTCCTCGATTTACAATGGTTCACTTACCGACTGTTCCAAGTTGCAACATCACTGGAAAAAAGCGATTTATGACCATTTTCCACACTTACAAGCACTGCAGGATCCCCTTCCCCATGGTCATGTGATCAAAATTCAGACGCTTGGCAACTGACTCAGATTTATGACGATTATAGTGTCCCAGGATGGTGGGGTCTCCTTTTACGACCTCCTGACAAGCAAAGTCAATGGGGAAACCAGATTCACTTAACAACCGGCTTACTAACTTAACAGCTGCAGTGATTCACTTAACAACTGCGGCAAGAAAGGTTGTAAAATGGGGCAAAATTCACTTAACAACTCTCTTACTTAGCAACATAAATTTTGGGCTCAATTGTTGAGGACTAGCTGTATTTTATTTGTTTTTCACATCTCCCTCACAGACCAGCTCCGGGCA